AGAGTGGGACGGAGGTAGTATTTGTTATATGCTGAATTGTTCTAGTGATTGATGATCATCATTGAGAACTTTAGATGTGAAAATCGTGTTTACAAAGTTATGTTATCTGTATCTGCAGCAAGCAATACTTGCTTCAGTACATGTACACTATGTTTGGTTCAAGAAATTTGAGAGGGAAAGGAAAAGAAAATGAGAATTGAAGGAAAACTTTTTTTCTTGTTTGGTTAGAGAGGAAAAGAAAAGAAAAGTAGAAGAAAAAAAAATGAGAAAACAAAATGTATTAAGAGGATGGAAAACCAAATTCTTCCCATTTTGGTGAGGAAACTAAGGGAAAACCATTTTCTTTTCTTTTCCTTCTACATTCTATGAACCAAACATAGTGGTAATGTAAATGAAATTTGAATTCATATCCTTATCGGTTTTTTGTTGCTTAGTTTTGTTCGAATGACGACCTGCATCATATGATTTTTTGTTATGTGTATTAGTTTTAAATAATTTATAATGAATTATACTAAAAATATCTATAAAAAATTCCTATCAATTTTGTTGGCGAGCAAATTATATGGTACGGTTGAATGTACGGTACATCATGGCCAGTGGTGGATCCACTTGTTTGGAGTAGGAGGCAAATGCCCCCAACTAATTTTAATAATAAGGTTAGAAATATTTTTTTATATAAATTTTACTCCCTCTGTCCCGTTTTAAATTGCCCGTTTTGATTTTGAGGCATATTTAAGGAAGAGAAAAAATAGAGTTGACTTTTCGAAATTGTCATTATTTTTTAGGAGGGGTAACGATGAATAAAAAGATAAGATGAAGAAGAGTGACTTATTTTAGGGGCAGTTTAGGAATTTTATTCTTAGAAGTTTATGATAACAAGAAACAGACAACTTATTTTGGGACGAAGAAAAAGGAAAACGGACAATTTAAAATTGGACAGAGGAAATATGGATATGTGTCCCTAAGAAAAATAATGTGACCCCATCTAATTAGGTCAAATTTAATTTTTTTATTTAATTTCTTAATAAAGTGTATTTTATTCCATATAATTAATTTTTTTATAAAATAAAATTTTGCCTTACCTATTAACAAATGTTTTACATTCAATAAATATTTGAAATAAAACTCATTATTTTTTGTCATTTCAAATAGTTTAAAACAATCTGGAGGCGCTGCCTCTGGACCCCAATTAATGCTTCCCTCATCTACTTCAATTCCTGTAGGGATGACAATTCTATCCGAATCTGACTTTTACCGACCCGACCAGAGCTTATAATATCCGAATCGAACCGAAAAAATAAATATTTGAAACCGACCCAAAAAAATTTAAACCGAACCCGACTTTTGTTGGGTTGGGTTTGTGTTAGTATATCTAACCGACCCGACATGTACCTGACATGTACCCACTTTCAATAAGTTTTTAAAAACTCTAAATTCCTATATTCCATGTATTTTTGATACACATATTTTTAATGTTTTAAAACCTATTGCATTTTTTTGTTTCATTTTTTATTGTGGTTTAATCTTGTGTGTCACACATGTGTTATTTTCTTTGTACTCCATATATTATTATTATTTGAAACCTACTATTGTTTGTTCCGCACACACGCGAAGAGGGAGCTGTTGCAGATTTCTGGTCCGACGTCGCCCCCGGCGGGATCAAACGCCTGTCGTTCGATCTCTCTGGTTTCATTGAGAGCCATTCCTGCCCCGAAAAGACGTGGGGCCAAAACGCCTTCGTCTGCTCCTATTTTGTCTTCCTAGACCAGAAATCTGCAACTGCTCCTCCTCTCGCACGTGCGGAACAACTAAGAGTACTTTGACATCTTTAAGGGTCATTCGGTCATAATTATTTTTGTTAATATCTTAAAATTTATGTCATAATTAAAATTTTAAATTTCTAATGTATTTCAATCATAAATTTTTCATGAATACTTTAATTAATATTCAAACCCGAAATTGATCGTTACCGATCCGGCTGAATCTTAAACCGAATCCGAACCGAAAAAAATTTATATCCTAAATTGACCTGCCAAAATCATTCCTGAACCCAACCTAAGTCAGATCGAGTTTACATATAGTCAAACCCAACTGAACTCGACCTGTTGCATACCTATTCCTGGAGTTGCCACTGATCATGGTAAATTTATAATTAAAAAAATGTTTCGAAATGTATATATTACGGTTTTTGATAATAAACACTATGTAATTTCACAATTAACATACTTCATTCAGCATGCAGAGTGTGTTCATTATCCTTGGAATGGATGATTTCAATATCTTCCAAATTTGATAGATATCGATATGGGGATTTGATCCCTCTTTCAACTGTTGACTCTTCTCGACCACGACTACCATTGTCACTGCAAACCACCCCGCTGTCAGTCACCCTCGTCTATCAATAATTAAATCATAATTTTAAAACCACCAAACAATTTATTTTTAGATTTCAAAACCCATATCGTTTTTACTTGCTTTCAAAACTCAGATTTTAACATAGAAAAAGTATCAAAATAAGAGTTCAATTTTTTATTTCAAAAATAAGATTTCATATTGTGGTAATGTGACACTTAATATGGATATTTCAAAAAAAATTTATTAATGTATATGATCATGATTAATACTGTAAATTTATTTTAACTTCTATTTAAAAAACATGAAACTCCTATTTTGAAAATTTGTTAAAATTTACTCCCTTAACTTTTTTCTCAAAAATGTAAGCGTAATAGGATATTTTGGGGTAAAAGCTAAGAGGTGTTTGTTGATGAAAACAGATATGAATTTTGATATCTCGAGATTTCAAAACCCTTTTTGGTGTTTAGTGAAGCAAAAAGAGATTTCAAAACAAGAGGTTTCAATATCTCCTGAATTTGAAAAATATTGATAATTAAATCTTAATTTTAAATCTCTCAAACCAATTTATTTTCAGATTTCAAAACATGTACTCCAAAACTTCAAAAATTAGATCTGAAGTCTTAACATACTTTACGTATGTAAAATACTTAACGCCCCTTGGGTGAGCTTTCAAAGTATGTTAAGACTTACAACAACAAACAACAACAACCCAGTTAAATCCCACAAGAGTAGGGTCTGGGGAGGATGTGGTCTGCGTACACACATCCTCCCCAGACCCTACTCTTGTGGGATTTAACTCGGTTGTTGTTGTTTGTTGTTGTAAGTCTTAACATACTTTGAAAGCTCACCCAAGGGGTTAAGTATTTTACAACCCCTAGCACTATTTAAATTTTCAAAAGAAAGATGGGGTGATTGATCGGGCAACCACCTCAACAGATCTACCGGCCTCCCCACTTTCTCCGGATATAATCGAAGAAGAAGAAGAAGAAGATGTCTGACTATTTGGGGAAGAGGAAGATGTCAAACTATTTGCCTCCTGAAATCATCACGCTCATCCTCCGGAGACTCCCTGTGAAATCGGCGGTGAAAAGCACCGCCGTTTGCAAGACCTGGTACGCTCTCATCAAGCATCCCTCTTTCATTTCCAATCATCTGCACCAGGCTGCGTCTCTTCGCGACGATCTTCTCCTTCTCCGATTCACCATAGATGATAAAAAAGAATTTTATCAATTGCATCGCGATAATGATGCCTTTGAGGAGTACAAGCAGTTCCACTTACCCTTTGAGTGTGGTGGATATGGGATTTTTAGAATTGCTGGTACATGTAATGGGCTGATTTGTCTTGCAGATGTTAGGAGTCATTCTTGCAATTTAATTTTATGGAATCCTTCCATTCATAAGCATTTCACTTTGCCCAAGTTTGATTACCACCTACATTGGGACTGCTGAAACCTTCCTAGGTTTTGGGTTTGATTCTGCAACTGATGACTACAAGGTACTTGTAGTTGCAGATCGAGGAGACAAGGAAGGTGTGACTGAAGTTTGGTTGTTTTCTTTAAATAGGAATTCTTGGACGAGGCTTAGTGAAGTTTGTCCCGAGCATAGCTGTTGTGGAATTAGGGAGGCAGCTTTTGCGAGAGGTGTTTTGCATTGGCCTGGATTTGTGCAGGATCGCTTGTTCTCACATATGATTTTGGCTTTTGATTTAAGCACCGAAAAGTTTCGCGTGATGAATTATCCCGAAACTTTAGTTCATTTTGTACCTCAAATGTCCTTGATCAAATATGAAGAATCCATTGCAGTGGTTACAACTGGAAGCTTTGAAGACATAGATGACGAGCAACATGAGTTGTGGGTCATGAGGGAATATGGGGTAGACAGTTCTTGGACAATGGTGTTACATTCTATTGACGAAAATGGAAAGTTGGTTTTTGATGCAAGCTTGGATTATGTGTTCGGGGTTAGGAAGAACGGGGAAGTTTTATTGACAGTGTATGGGAAGGATCATAAATACGAGCTAGCTACACTGAATTTGAACTGCCACCAACATGAACATAAGCAACAGCCGAAGCGTCTAATTGGAAAAGGGAACGGTCTTCATCACTTGTTTGTCGGTAGCTACTTGGAGAGCCTGGTTTTACTTGACAAAGGGGTAAAGGATACTGAGGGGCAGTCTGAATCTGAATGAAAGTGAAATGACATTAGCTAGTAAGTGCACCAACTCTTCTTTTTCGTATATTTCCTCTGCAACTACTTAACTGTATTTCTGTTGCGACTTGTGAAGAATAATGTGGTCTTGTTAGAAGGCTCATGTTCTATGGCAGATATATCTCCCTTTAATTGTCTTACACAATACTTACTTCTTATGTTGGATGCTTGTAATGCCTTTTTGTGCTATTCTGCTACGGAGTAGTTACTTCTGATATATACAAATGATGTTTGAGGTTAGTTTGGGTTTATGGAACTGCACAAGAGTGCAAATTGTCAAGTAACTATCATTGGGATTTTTATGAATTGGTGATCATCATCGAGAACTTTAGATGTGAAAATCGTGTGTACGAATTTAGGAATAGTAACATACTCATGTTACGGAGTAGCATAGGGTATACAACTTAAATAATTATTGGCTCTCTTAGACTCTGCTAGAATTGAAGAGAACGTCAAAACGTTTGGTTTTGTGTAGATGAAATTTGAATAAATATCCTTTCTGGAGTAAGTATGGTTCCATTCAAACAGCCTCAAATCTCATTGTTATGAACAATATTTACTCCCAGTGTCCCCATATTACTCAGGTTCATAGCTATGAAAGAACAAGATATTGATATGCATGGATAGTCTACTCTTAGCAAACACAAATATAGTTTTAACTTTTATAACTTCTTATTCCCTTTCTCCGAATTTAAATCACATGTTTCATTTTTATGATTTTTAACATGCAACACTTTAGTTGTGGATAACTAACTATATATGTACATTGAGGCATATAATACTCCCAGCGTCCCATAAAATCTTCCTATTTGAACAAAAGCGCGCCTTTAATCTGAATAATTTTGGTGTTATTTTTTAATTATGACTCATTTATCCTACTCTATAATAAAGTAAGGGCAAAATTATAAAACAATACCAAATTTTCCCATTTTTAAGATGCGCCTTTTTTAAAAAGAAAGGATTTTATGGAACAAAGCGAGTATAAAAATATGCTATTTTTCAAACTACATTTCAAAATGAATATGATGTTATTTAATTCAAGTAATAAATTAATAACTCTCACACTTCATCTACAAAATTCAATTGAAGGAGTATGTAAATTATGACCAAAAAAATTGAAATGCAAAATAGATGTGAAAGAAGATGGCACTTTTTTTTTATGAAGTGTTGGGCAGAAAAGTATAAAACACATCACCTTGAACAGCATCTGTTCTATAGGATCGTACTTCTAAAACAATCAAATAAAGAAATAATAAAAAACTAATTTCTTTACCAATTCTTCTAAAAACTTAATAAGAACATGATTTTGGATTGCTTTAGTTTTTCTTTTCATTCTCTTGACATTTTCCTTTTCTGCTTAATTTCTCGAATCAAACATATAGTAAAAGTTGATAGCATTGGTATCATTGCGATTTTCATCTTGGCCTAGTTTTCATCCAAACTTGCTTTGTCTATATTCATCTTGAGCCGAGGCCTGAGGGTAGTGTGGCACTACTGTGGCCCCATACCTGATGGCTAAGGCACCCAAGCAATTCGTACGCCATGTGCAAGTAATGTTCTTTCAGTTCAGAATATTCTTCTAGCTAGTTTGGTTTTTTTGAATCACACTGGATAAATTTCAATCATCAAGATAAACACAAAATGCTTATCACATATTAATACAATGAAATGATTTTTTCAAAATTTTCTGTAAAAATTCAATTTGTACCAATATACTACCTCCGTCCCATTGTCTTTGTCCACTTTTGACTTTTGGAACTGTTCATCTAAGCACTTTGACTCATCAAATTCTCTCAATGTGTAAGCCTAAAAATAGTCATGTGTGATCTTGTTTGATTTTTCTTAACATATAGATTATTACGGAGTAATATATAATTTTTATAATTTTTTAATATACAAATTACAAGATAAAATGGATTAAAGAAGTGCATTGGATAGTGTGTCAAAAGCTAAGTAGACAAAGACAATGGGACGGAGGGAGTATAAAGCAAACTTAACTTATAATCAAATACATCTACTAATTGAACAAATACTCGGATAAGAAAGGTATTAAGGTCTTTACTAAGTACAAACAGAGATATGCATGCCTTTGTACATCAAATTTGCATAAGAACCACCAAATTAATTAAATACTCTGTAGTTAACAATATTCTTCCTAAAAACAAAGTTAACAATCTAACACCGACCAATGCATTTAAACAAAAGGACTCTCATCTCCTTAAAAAAATTGCCACACTTTGCTTAAAAAGTCAAATTGAGATAACTTTTAATTAACCACAAATTAAATATAATTTAAAATGATTATATATTCTAAAAAATTTGATATTTCAAAACTATATTTTAAAATAAACTCAATTTTACTAAATTTACATTATAATTAAATATATTTTTTCTATAATTCATGGTCAAAGAATACAACAATTTGACTAAAAAAAATCTAGGGGCGCTACCTCTCGACCCCCAATCAATACTCCCCCCATCTACTTCAATTCCTAAACCCGCCACTAATTATGGTACATTTATAATGATAAATTGTTTTAGAATCTATATATTACGGTGTTTTAGAATAAACATTATGTTGTTTCACAATGAACACATTATGCTGAACATGCATAGTGTGTTCATTATTTTTGAAACAGAGGGTTTCAATATTTCCCAAATTTGAGAGATATCGATATGCAGATTTGACATCTCTTTCAATCGTTGACCATTCTCCACCGCCGGCTACTATTGTCACCGTAAACCACCCCGTTGTCAATTACCCTCATCTATCAATAATTAAATCATTATTTTAAAATCTCTCTGAACAATTTTTTTAAATTTCAAAACCCATATGATTTCTACTAGATTTCAAAGCACAGATCTTAATATACCAGATTTTAAAACTCAAATCGTAACATAAAAAACTACTAAAATAAGAGTTTCATGTTTTTATCTTAAAAATAAGACTTCACATTGTGATAATGTGAAACTCTATATGGATATTTCATAATATTATTTGTTAATGTATATGGTCAGGATTGACACTGTAAATATATTTTAACTTCTAATTTAAAAAAACAAATAAAACTTTTACTCCTTTAATCTTTTTCCCCATGATGTAAGTGTAATAGGATATTTTGGGGCACAAGCTAAGGGTGTATTTGTTGAGGAAACAAGAAATGGATTTTGACATCTCCATATTTCAGAACCTTTTTTTGTTGTTTGGTGAAGCCAAAATAGATATCGAATGTGATATTTCCAGATATCCTAATCTTTGAAAAGGAACGTTTCAATATCCCGAACTTGAGAGATATTGATAAGGCGATTTGACATTTCTTTTAATTGTTGACCATTTTCCACCGCCGGCTACCGTTGACCATTGTCATCGTCAACCACTCTGCTATCGGTCACCCTAGTTTTCAATAATTAAATCATGATTTTAAATCTCTCCAAACAATCTCTTTGAAAATTTTAAAACACTTATCATTTCAAAACTTAGATCAATCTCTCTTCAAAACTCACCAGGCACTAGCTACTCCCTCCGTCCTAAAACTTTCTTCCCAGAGTACTATTCCAACTTCACGGAAATTTATATTTATTTGTATTTTTTCATGGTCTATATAATAAAATAAAATAATCTTGTCACTACTTGTTTTGTTGAATTTTTTATGTAGTTTTTAAATATGTATATATTATTTTTTATTTTTATAGCAATATATACATAAAATAGATTGAAAAAACTTAGAATTTTTCTTCATTTTATATAACGGAAAGAAAGATATAAGACCGAGTGAGTATTTTACTACTCCCTACTCCCTAGTCTCCCTTGCACTATTTAATTAAAAAAATGGTGTGATTGATCTGCCAACTATAACCTCAACAGATCTACCGGCATCCCACTTTCTCCGGATATAATCCAAGAAGAAGAAGAAGCAGAAGAAGAAGATGTCTGACTATTTGGGGAAGAGGAATATGTCAAACTATTTGCCTCCTGAAATCATCACGCTCATCCTCCGGAGACTCCCGGTGAAATCGGCGGTGAAAAGCACCGCCGTTTGCAAGACCTGGTACGCTCTCATCAAGCATCCCTCTTTCATTTCCAATCATCTGCACCAGGCTGCGTCTCTTCGCGACGATCTTCTCCTTCTCCGATTCACCAGAGATGACAAAGAATTTTATCAATTGCGTCGGGATAATGATTCCTTTGAGGAGTACAAGCAGTTCCATGCACCCTTCGAGTGTGGTGGATTTGGGGATTTTAGAATTGCTGGTACATGTAATGGGCTGATTTGTCTCGCAGATGTTCGGAGAAATTCTTGCGATTTCATTTTATGGAATCCTTCCATTCATATGCATTTCACTTTGCCCAAGATTGATTTCACCTACACTGGGACTGATGATGTCTTCCTAGGTTTTGGGTTTGATTCGGCATCTGATGACTACAAGGTACTTCTAGTTGTGGCTCGGGGTTACGACGAAGATTTGACTGAAGTTTGGTTGTTTTCCTTAAATAGGAATTCTTGGACGAGCCTTAGTGAAGTTTGTCCCAAGCATAGTTGTGGTGGAGCTAGGGAGGCAGCTTTTGTGAGAGGAGTTTTGCATTGGCCTGGATTTCTGCATCGTCGCTTCTTCTCAAATATGATTTTGGCTTTTGATTTGAGCACCGAAAAGTTTCACGTGATGAATTATCCCAAAACTTTAGTTCAGTTTGCACCTCAAATGTCCTTGATCAAATATGAAGAATCCATTGCAGTGGTTACAAGTGGAAGCTTTGAAGACATTAATGACGAGCAACTTGAATTGTGGGTCATGAAGGAATATGGTGTAGACAGTTCTTGGACTATGGTGTTACATTCAATTGACGAAAATGGAAAGCTGGTTTTTTATG